TGCTTCATGACCCATAATTGGGTCCCAAGCCCAACTTTGGGAACCACAGTGCAGTGGTTCCCAAACTTTTCAGCTTTTGACTCACAAAATAACAGTAGCAGAGACCTGTGCCCCCAACTATTTTTGTATGATAAACATTTGTATCAGGTCAACCAATCATGGGCACAGTAACAATATTTTTATACTACATTTATCCATTTTAAATACACTAACCTCACTCATTTGTAACAACTAAGGCAAAATTGTAACTAATTCAGAAAATCTTTTCAGGACCCCATCTTGATGTTTCGGGAACCCACTTTGGGTCCCGACCCCAACTTTGGGAAACGCTGGTTTAAATGACTGTGTCCATAACATTTAATTTATATACATAAACATTAAAAACAATTTTAAAAATGGTTTATTATTCATTGTTTTCTGCTCACATTCTGGTCTGTTTTGCAGCAGGTGCTGAGAGAAATCCAGCAAAGGTAGGAATCACATTTATAGTTTGATAATCAGATTTATACTGATGTAAAGATGACATATTTTACGCATGTATTGCAAGTTTTATATTTCTAATAAATAACAAATAATGCAAGAGGAGGAGTTTTTCTGATCTTATGAGTTRGTGTTACGTTCCCAGCATGTGTCCTTCAAGCCCAGAGCAGCTAAAATCTTAAGCTCCAGGCAGCCGTGCTGTGTGGAGGAGGAGGCGCAGGATCAGGAGCGTGCGCCCCGGCAGGTGGCGGGGAGTCACAGGGAGGGTAGATGTAGAGCGTCYGGATCGTCTACGTCGTCTAATCCTAATAAAACCACTGAGGGAAGGAACGGCTGCTGGACCTCCTCTAAAACACACCACAAAGACCGCAGCGTCAGAGGGGCCACCAGAGGAAGGGATGGGGTAAGAACCTGGACTCGTACTGTTTAAAGACTTGTTAAAAAATAAATGGTAAAACCGTGTGTGCATTCAAGGTGACGTCAAACAAACACAAACTCACCGCCACTGTTGGACCACCGGGAGCCAATGGGAAAGCAGGACAGCCTCTGAATGCTCGAGGAGGTGGGAGTAAGAGCGTAAAGCAGACCGGTGTGGAGAACAACCTGGTGTGTTTGACCAGCGAACAGCTGCAGCAGATCCTCAACGCTGTCAAGACCCCCAGCAACGGACAACAGGACCCAGAGGAGCAGGCAGCACAAGGTATTAATGTTACCTCTAACACAACCTGCAGGGGGCTGAAAAATACTAACTTTAAATCATTCCTTTGTTAGAGGATCCAGCAGACCTCAGATCTGACTCTGTGACAGGAGGAGGAAGAGAAATAAGAGAGGAAGACAAAGGAGGAGGTGAAGAACTGATGGATGGAGGAGGAACTGCTGCAGACAGAAGCTCAGCAGAAAAAGATAACGGGTTCTCCAGATCTTTGTTCAGCTGGCTGGAGGAGCGAGAATCAGACAGCAGGGCCACCATCGACGCCAAGAAGGCTCAGTGGAAGAGGGAACTAGGTGATTCTTCAGTGTTTCTCCTCTTCTGGAAAACACAAAACRATAACAATGATGCAGTTTCTTAAAATAATCAACCAACTAAACGTGTTTGTTTTTAGATGAACAGGTGGCGCTGAAGCAGCAGCGCTCAGCACCCAGCAGACTGCAGGTACAAGACGAGTTTCACTCTCCTGTTTTCAGTCCATCCATCCATGATCCACTCTTTATTTTTATTTGTTTGTTTGTGTGTTTCAGGTTGAGGAGTATGCAGAGAGTGTGTTGTCAGTTCAGAGCTCCATCAGCCACAGAGAACAACCTGCAGCCGTCAGGTCCAACCTCAGGCTCGGGGTAAATCTCACCTAACAAACAGTTTTTATGTTTTACTCTGCAGCTTTTTGTTGCAGGATTAAGAGTTTATATTATTATTAAAACAAAATGAGCATTGGATCGATTCGACAATGAAATATTCAGTTTCTGCAGGTTTCACAAACTCCAATTTAAACCTTTTTAAAGACCCTTTTAAGACCATTAAGGATGAAAATTAAGACCTTTTATTATCACATTGTTACGACCCGGCTCAAGAGCCATAACATATGTGAAGACACGACACAGTGGAATCAGTTTAAAACCTTAAAAAGGTATTTATTAAAGTTTTTGTCTAGGATTAGGTGAGTTTGTTGGCCCGGTTTGGAGCTCCGTAGCTCC